ATCTTGTAAAGTTGTTTTAATGTGTTTAACATTTTTTATTCCCTCAGCAGAAATGTCAAATTGGTTCATTTTAGTACACCAAGGTTTTTTTCTCTTTATCAAGCAACTTGTGAAATACTAAACAAAATATAGTAAACGAGCTAAAATCAGAGCTAATTAAATGATTATTAGAGGACTAATTCCTAGTTTAGGAAGACTCCTTCATTATTATTGTTATTGTAATTGTTATTCTTGTGTGNATATTATCGATCCCTTCATTTACTCCAGATGGCAGCCAGTAGTAGATGAAGATATGCCTTCACATTGGTGAGTACATCAAATAATATTGCAATGTAAATTAAACTAGAAAAATAAAGTTTTTTTTAAATGTCTTACCTCGTAATAAACTCTAATTGGTACTTAATTTTGGAATTATGTGGTTCTTTTTCTCATAAAATCGCAATTTCTTTTGTTAATATTAAACATCGTAATAGTAGGACTACTTTCCTACAATTAAACAAGAAAACTTTCAGATAAACGCTGCTTATTTTAATTTATATTAAAAGTTTTAATATTTTGCAGCCAACTCCAGAGAATACCAGAGTCTGTATCAGGAATTGAGCAGCAGAGAGGAGGGTGTGCATGCTAAATCTTCAAAATAGTAATGTCACACAGACATAACATCCTAATTAATTTGTTTGTTCTTCTATTCTTTATTGTTTTTAGATATTTGGTACGTTCATAGTTTTCTGCAACTGTATTATTTCTTACTTCCATAGAATTTCACTTTCTTTGATGGATAAAAAGTAAACTTTTCTAGATAAATTCGGCATACCTTTTCCTTTTATTTTTCTTAACATATTCCTAATAAATAATGGCAAATGCTTCGGTATTTCTGCATTTCGTCATTGCGTTTTCAACTAATATTTTTCCCCATGCTATTGTACCCAGTAAATTTAATTTGTTTTTTTATATTCTCAGTTTTATCTTGTTTTTTCATAATTTCTTTTGGGGTGAGCGTTGGATCCACGAAGAGGGAAGCCTACCTCTGTTTTTTTTTCTTTTTCGGCTTTTCACCCTGTGCCCAGTATCTATTTTGAGGCCCGGCTAATTTGGATTTACACTGTCAAATTTGACTTTGGAGGTAAAGCACTTCTTGCTAAAGACAATTCCATACTCAGAATTCGAACCCGAAACTATAATTAAGGATTAAGGGATACTTACTACCCCTACCACTTTTGATGGCTGAAGCGTACATAACGGAGTTAGAGTGTCCAGCTATGCGTGCAGAATAGATTAATAAATTTAATGTTAATTGTTTCAATGGGGACATTTTGACTTGATTAATAGGTCTCAATTGTCACGTTTGTATTAAACGTAGGCACACACTATTTGAAACTATATAACAAACATAGATTGAATTTTCAAAAATAGCCTAATTTTTTTGTAAAAATGGAACTCCAATTCCAGATCTAGTCTTCGCGTTTGAATCATATCTTCACATTTTCTTTGAACTGTCCGTTATTTTCACTTTTACGTGGTTAGCTTGACGAATTCTCAAATAGAGCTAAACTCAAATGATTTCAATAATTTTGTAAATTTAATGAACTATATAGTGACAGTAATATACCTTCCTGTTTCACACTGTCATAAGGTAACTTTACTTAGATTACGGTAATATAGATAGAATCTCTCCCTTCTTAATCAAAGGTCCCGATAAGAGTGCATCATCCTTTAGTGGAACGTACAAGGGGCACAAATTCAATTAGTGGAAACCCCAATATATACACCTAGAGCCGTCAAAATAGGCTTGGCCCATGAGGCCAGCCCAATCCAGCCCGCTACTTAGGTAGGGTTCGGCTAGAATTTATTTAGGCTATTTATTAAAACTGAGGCTTATAAGTCTGGCCCAAGTCAGTCCACTGGCTCTTGAGGCTTAACCGAGGCTGGCCTGGGCCGGCCCGTGGGCCAACAATTAATTAAATTCAAATTAAATACTATTAAATATTTAAAAAAAATAAAAATTAAAAAAACTATTAACTATAATCCACATTCCCCAACCCTAAATTACTCATTTACCTTTCCATATCAACTAAAATTTAGATTTTTGACATGCATATAATATGACAAAATTAGTTTTTCTTTTGCTTAATTAGTAACGAACTCGAAAAGTCTTAGGTAACCAATAAAGTCTTTTCTCAAAAGAAAATATCACTTTAAGTGGCCAATGATCAGTTTGGATTACTTTAGTATATTATTATTATTTAAACTACTCTTCAATAGAGCTGTCAAAACGGGCCAGGCCAACCCAACCTAGCTCAAGCCTCGTGGTCTTTTAAATTTGGCGGGCTAGGACGGGCTGGCCCGCCATATGAATGGGCCTTAAAATGGCCAGCCCAACCCAACCCTAAGAGGGCTGCGGGTAGGGGTGTATATGGACCGGGTTGGTTCGGTTTTATCGGGTTTTCGGATTTTTTTTTGTTACATGAATATTATTTCAATCTTTCTTTGTTAAAATTATAGATAAAGCTTTGATAAATGAATATATATTTAGTAAATATGGAAACAAATTGACAAATATATGATCTATTAAAATATTCTAATGGGAGAATTTTTTAGTAACACATGATAGTTATTTTCTTAGTCGTCTAACAATAATTTTTCGTTAATTTACGCTTTCAAGGTTAATACATGAGAGGATCCCAAATATTTCTACATTTTCTAAAGAAAATTCACTATAAAGTCTTAAAAATATAAATAAAATTTATATATTTATATGTCGGTTTGGTTCGGATTTTTTTACTCAATACCAAACCAAATCAAACCAAATTTAATCAGGTTTTTTAATCGGTTTGGTTTAATTTTTCGATTTGGTGCGGTTTTCCAGTTCGGTTTGAACACCCCTAGCTGCGGGCTAGGGCGGGCCGGCCCTTCAATTTTTTTAAAAAAAAAAATTCTTTAAACCCTTAAATATTTTTTCGTGACATAGTCGATTAATCATGTAAACAACTTCTATTTGCTTAGAGCGTACAAAAATGTTGATATTTGATGAGGAATCTCATAATTGAAATGCAAATTCTCTATATCTCTTGCTCTTATTTTTTAAAGTTACATGAATATTTTCTTAATACCTTTCTTTCATTTTCCTCAGATTCAGAGATTATTTAATAAGTTTATATGCTGAGATTTTTTAATGTAGGATTAACATCATTTGTTGATTTTATCATTATAGTCCATAAAATTCTTGAAATTTGCTAGTGGTCAATTTTTTTTGTGTGTATTTAAAACTGATCTTTATCTATATTGAAGAATAGTTTAAATAGTAATAATATATTAAAGTAATACAAACTGATCATTGGCCACTTAAAGTAATATTTTCTTTTGAGAAAAGATTTTATTGGCTACCTAAGGCTTTTCGAGTTCGTTATTAATTAAGCAAAAGAAAAATTAATTTTGTCATATTACATGCATGTCAAAAATCTAAATTCTAGTTGATATGAAAAGGTAAATGAGCAATTTAGGGTTGGGGAATGGGGATTATAGTTAATAGTTTTTTTACTTTTTACTTTTTTAAAATATTAAATATTTAATAGTAATTAATTTGAATTTAATTAATTGTTGGCCCACGGGCCGGCCCAGCCCAGCCTCGGTCAAGCCTCAAGGGCCAGTGGGCTGACTTGGGCCAGGCTTATAAGCCTCAGTTTTAAATGGGCTCAATAAATTCTAGCCCAACCCTACCCAAGTAGTGGGCTGGGTTGGGCTGGCCTCACGAGCCAAGCCCATTTTGACGACTCTACTCATCAATATAGATAAAGATCAGTTTTAAATACACACAAAAAAAATTGACCACTAGCAAATTTCAAGAATTTTAAAAATTTTATGGACTATAATGATGAAATCAACAAATGATGTTAATCCTACATTAAAAATCTCAGCATATAAACTTATTAAAATAATCCCTGAATCTGAGGAAAATGAAAGAAAGGTATTAAGAAAATATTCATGTAACTTTAAAAAAGAAGAGCCAGAGATATAGAGAATTTGTATTTCAATTATGAGATTTCTCATCAAATATCAACATTTTTATATGCTCTAAGCAAATAGAAGTTGTTTACATGATTAATCGACTATATTACGAAAAAATATTTAAGGATAAGAAAAAAAAATTTAAAAAAAATAAAAATTGAAGGGACGGGCCGCCCTAGCCCGCAGCCCTCTTAGGGCTGGGTTGGGCCAGCCATTTTAAGGCCCATTCATATGGCGGGCTAACCCATCCTAGCCCACCAAATATAAAAGCTCACGAGGCTTGGGCTAGGCTGACAGGGCTGGCCCGTTTTGACAGCTCTATATACAACCAAACCAAACCAAAAAAAAATGCTTTAAAACCTTGCTAAAAAGTCGATTAGGTGACGTTTGAAATGCACCATTTGAGAGAGAAATGGCAAACAATGGCTCACTCAAAAGGAGACCTTACCCTAAAGGAATTGCTCTCTTTTAGAGACAGAGATCTCAAAACTTATCTTTTACTCACTAAACAACGATGTTCGCTAGACCTCTGGTGAATTAGTCACAGATACGAGTGGCAAACAAGCGGGGCAAGTCAGATATGATTTGGGTTGAAAACCGATAATGCAAAAACAAATAAATTGCCCGAACCGACCCATATTTAATACGGATAAAAACAGATTAACCGACAGATAATAGGTGTAACCATATTATCCATGACTTTTTGCATATGATCACTTTTGGGAAAATTCCTAATCTCCCTAACTTGAGGAACCCCAAATTTGAGACTTTACAAATATAAAAATTACACTCATTGGTTATCCATATGGATAATATGATTTTTATCCATATTTGACCCGTTTTTAAAAAGTTCATTATCCAACCCATTTTTTAGTAGATAATATGAGTGGTTAACTGTTTTCTTTTAACCATTTTGCCACCACTAATGGCAACCCACTCAATGAAACAGATAATATAATTCATACAACGGGATCATCGACCTCGTACACGGTTCGTCGTCAGTTAATACACATCAAAATTAAAATATAGCACATGTTCCGTTTTTGGATGTAGGAGTTAATATGCATGTTACACAGATCGACGGAAAATGATAAAATTTAAAACGGATACAAGGGGGAAAAATAGTACGGTACTGTGGATAAAGGGCGGATGATGATTAAAAACTTGACATAATAAATGGTGCAGAAAAATGCTACTTCGCTCTAGAGAAGTCCACTAAGGAGAGCTTCTATAGACTGAAGGACGAGACCGCTAGTATTCCTAACCTATTACAGAGTAATTCTTAAAATTTTGCAAAATTGGGATGAACAGAATCTGTGGACCTATAAATGCTTGCATAAATAGTGGTGATGGTTGTGATTAAGATGGCAATATGCAATGAGATGTATGATCGCGCTCTACTCCCCCTGGTCATAAATTAATAGGAGAAACAACCCAGGAAATGAAGCGGGAATTAGAAAACGAGAGGGAAGAACTTATTGTGCCAACAAGATCAACTCCTCCTCTTCTTATGTGATTTAGATCCAGAGTGGTTTTTATTTCTTTTCTTGTCACTCTTTTCAGTCTCCGTCTTGGAATGTTTCTCCGACTTGCTTTTGTTGGATTTTACACTAATTACACCGCCAGGAACTATCTTCCCACCACCATTCTGAAGAGCATTTTCAAAATCAGCTTCTCTGTCAACTATAGCGAATTGCTGAAATAGTTCTGGGTCCAACAAACCGTCCGTCTTGGCTTTCATCTCATCCTAGATATGACCTTAGGTAATTAGAGATCTTTTCGAGATGGGGGAAAACTTGCAGGGACAAGAGCAAGCAAATTCGAACCTGGACTTTCTTTGCAGCATCACTGAGATCTTCATCAACAGATATCGAATGTGCTTCCATCTTAAGCTGAAAACGGAAAACGTGCCTCAGTTAATGTTTAGCAAAAACAGATGAACAAAAGCTTAACTGCTCTTTAATTATACTTAAATTGTTCATATCTTGAGACAAACTAAAACGAGAAGTGTTGGAATATTTCCTTATGTCCACAATTGACACACAGCATGACGACATGTGCAGATATTGTTCCCGTTTTACTTTTTCATTTGTCTTAGCATAGGACTCTCAGGAGAATGAAATATAATTCTACTTACCGCTTTAAGCCGAGATTCAGTTGAGTTAATTTCTTTTGATGTTAGATTATTTAGGTATTTGCAAAGCCTCTTCATGACTTTCATGAACAAGGACAATATCTGCTGCCTTTCCAAATTCATTTCTCCCTGTAAAATAAGAATTAAAAAGAGTAAACTGAGAACACTGGAGTTTTATTGAATGAAAGTATCTACTAGTATTTATTTTGGATGTGATGACGGAAAACTAGTGGCCTTAACAAAAAAAGAGAAGTGTATTTCACTGCACAAGGCCTGAAAATACAGAATAAACTATTCAAGATAAAGACTAGCAAGCCAGCAAACCTCTATTTCAGGGATGTCTTTGTGCTGCAGGCCATAGGAAAGCAAAAGGGAAGCCTGGGCATATGAAAGGGAAACTGGCAAATGCTCCAAAAAATACACACGAGCAAGTTTTTGAGCAACATCTCGAATCTGTGAAAAAATAGCTCATGCAAATAATTAACGTGGAAATAACAACGACGACGACCCAGTAAAAACAAATGTCAGGCACTTTTGAGACATTTAAACACCGCATGCATTAGGTAAAAACAGAAAGGTAGTTTTGTCCTCCTTAAATGTTCACACAGTAAACAGTAAATATCGGGCACTTTTGAAGGATTTGTTTCTGCCACATCTTTCATCCCTTCATGTCTTTCCCATTTTTTACTATTGGTCCTTCTAATTCTATGCACCGGATAACAAGCCCCTATTGATCTCCATACTTAAAAAATCATTAGATATCAAATGTCTAATTATTGGATTTTATTTGCATCTACCAAATTAGAACTTCAACCTTTATACCGAAGACCTAGACACAAAACAGACAAAGTAAAGGACAATCATGTACCTGTTATTAAATTACAAAGCAATATAAGAGACATATTTCACATGTCATTTTTTGTTCAGAATTTTCTTGTCGTCAAAAGTAATAGGCCAAATACCTAGATAGCCCCTTAAACTTGGCATGTTTTATAAAATAGATATATAAACTACGGAGTGACCGGATAGACACCTTAACTCGTCTTAAATGTTTCTTTCATGCACAAGAGTCCTACATGGAATACCGCGTATTTGTTTTGTTTATTATAGGCGCGTGAGGCTTTTTTAAAGCTGCTGAATCAGCTCTTCTAGCAGTTAAAAAATAAATCCAAATTCACCATCATCTCCCTCAAATTCATCTTCACCATTATTAAAAGAAAAGCCCTAGTATGTTTAAAGATTTTCTCTCTCTACTTTCTAAACTCTAAGGCACACTCCTCGAGGAGCCTGAGTACAAGATTTTGTAGCTTTCCATGAACACCATTAGATAGACCCCGAGATTCCGACCACTCCACTGAATCTTTTCCGACGAAGCAGCCTCCACGCGCGGCTTTCTCCGGCGACCTTCCACCCACGCGCCGGGCGCGTGAGGCATTTTCCGGCAGCTTTTCAAAAAAAAAATTTTGGACAGCTTCCTCTACTGTTAATTCCGACCAGATTGGTACAATTTTTTCAGATTTCCGACGACTTTTATTTTTCCGGGAGCGGGAAACCTCTGTTTTGGGCCAAATTTCAGTTTCTTTTACCTCAACAGCTCAACTGTGATGACCATCAAATACTCCTTATAATTTCCATAACCTGAACAGCTGGGTTGTGCAATATGGGAGACAACCGGATATATTTCAACGCAGGTTTCAAATCTTTTGACATTACCAGATGGAATTCCAACAAAGAGGTATGGTTTGAATGGGTGGAGAGAAGCCGCAGCATGATGAGACGATCATCCATGGGCAGAAAGGTAATGGAATGGATTTGTTTTGTACTTAAAGAAGCCTCGAAAGATCAAATGAATTTAGTGAAGCGATGGAAGTGCAAGGAACACATGAGAGAACATTTCTGTACCAGGAAATTCAACGTTCACGGAAGATACATGAGCATTCTGTCACTGAAGGGAGAAGGGAGGTCTGTTATCATAATTCCAGAGTTAGCCTTGAATGCAGGTTGGAATGACATAGCAGCCAAGATAGAAAGATTCATATATCAGATCCCCAAAATGAATCTCACAGTACCACCTAGAATCACGGTGGACAACTACCCTTATGTCAAAGCAATCAAGGAGAGTAAATGGCAATCCAATACTCTTCGAGAGGCAAAGGTCAGCATAAACAATGGAGATATCTTTGTTGTGGAACCGACAGGTAGCGAGGATTTTGGTTTACTAAAAAGATGCATTGTCGGGTTTTTTGGGAAAGAAATCAACGAGAGACCCACTTTAGCAGACATAAGGCGATGGGCTAGTGCGTCATGGAACAAAGCATATGGAGTAAACATGTATGAAATGACAGGCAACATGTTTCTTTTTGAATTTCCAAACAGATTCATGGCGGAGCAGATTATGCAAGGAGAATGGAGTTGGAAAAAGTTCAAGCTTCATCTGGAATGGTGGAGTCATACTGCTGGATGCATTCCAAACTCACAAATCGAGGAAACATGCTGGATTAGAGCCATGGGGATTCCTTTACATCTATGGTCACAAAACATCTTCAAAGAAATAGGAGATCTCTGTGGGGGATGGATAGCTACTGAAGAAGAAACTGATCTCAAAAATCATTTTAAGTGGGCAAGAATTAAAATTGTTGGTGATGGCAGAAAGACTCCCAATGAGGTTGGGATTGTAAGAGACGGTATCAAATTTTTCATCCCAATCTGGGCTGAAAGACAGACAAGATATGAGTTGAAGATGCAAGAAAACGAACAATGTTTTGAAATAGAGAGATATTTGAACAATCTAGTGGGGTGCACCATATTGCGAAACACTGATAAAGGAAAGGCAAGTGTGCAACCTACACAAGGTTCAAGTTCGATGAATCAGAGCAGTAAAGTGACAAACAACGAACTGAAGTCCTATGACTCCGACTTGGCTGCACAAGTCATCTTTAATGATCTCTCGTGTGAGTTTTCTGACGATATTAGGCTCAAGCCTTGTATTGAGGAAATGGGAGGACCATCTTACCTGGGGGAAATAGAGTCCATTCCAGGGGACTCAATCCCCAATGAAAACCTTGAAAGTATGACAAAGGCAACATTCAACAGTTGCAGGCAGCCAGAAGGTGGAGCAAAGATAGCAAGACTGGAACAGAAGGCAGGGGAGCAGAGCATAAACACAATTATGGGGGAAGATCAAGCTGGAAGTGTTTCGGAACAACTAAAGCACTTTAGCTCTATCCAAGATTGGGAAATCGAGGAGGTGAATCCTATAGCAGTTCAGCAACACAATCCTTTAATGGATAAAGACATGGATGCAACACTATGGGTCCACCAAAATATGATCAAATTGGGAAAAATGTTTGGAGTAGATTTTCAAGGCCATAAAGAAGCATTGGAATTGTTAATGCAAATTGACAGTTGCAAACAGGTTAGAAGGGTGGAGACAGAGTTGGAGGTGAAGAAACACAGATTCAAAGGATCACTGAAATTAAAAGGTTTAACTTCGTTTGATGTCAAATTCAAGAGTGACGGGAAAAGGAGTAGGGGAAGAGATCTATCAATCATTTCAATATGAAGATTAAAGTAATTTCCTAGAATGTAAGGGGTTTAAACGACAAGAGGAAAAGGGAGATCATAAAAAGTCAAGTGCAGAACTGGAGGGCAGACATTATATGCATGCAAGAGACAAAAGTGGAGGGGGATATTAAGGAAATAGTCAGTCAAATATGGGGTGGTAAATGGGTAAGGTACGCAAGTTTAGAAGCTAGCGGCACGAGAGGGGGGATTTTGTTATTATGGGATTGCAGA